AACTGTTTATCCTGCCTAACTTATCTAGATAGACATGCAGACACATTAATAAGCAGAAAAACCAAGCAAAGCCAAACAAAACAACAAAGGAAGTCAAGACCAACAAAACAACCAAAAAAACCACCACCAACAAAAAGAAAGCCACTGACAAAATGGAAAAGCCTATAAATAGTTAAAGGTCTGTTTGTTGGCCTTTACAAGTGCTTTCCAGTGGAGTCTGATGGGGTGCCACACTCTTGTCTCCAAAGTCTATTTTTGGTATTCCCTGGGGATTTCAGCCCCTTGCTGCTCTGTTGCATGCCCTTAGTGTTTTGCCCAAGCATGATAGGGTCAGATTGTGCACAATTCCCATACTGTGTCTCCAGTGTTGTCCCCCGCAGCGTTATGGTTTAGTGAGGGACGTTGTGTCTCATGGTGGGGCCAGCCCTGTGGTCCTCTCTGTGCATTGTCTGCTCCAAGCAGGAATATCGTCCTCGGGGCTTGGTGGGCCAGGATGTCCTTCCCTCTCTCTCCAACTCTTTTCATTTCTCCCGTCTATTCTAATCAGATGTGTCCCTCTCCCCAAACTGTGGCCCCAGTGCTGTCCTCTGAAGTGCATTCTTCTGAGGGGTGGTGGTGTCCACACAGTTGGAATTGGAGGCAGCCTCGCAGACCCTATGGGTTCCCTGGTATCTAAAGTCTTTCCTGTTGCTCTCATTTTAAAGTAATCAGTTGTTCATATGAACTACTTAAAATATTTAATACTTTCTGTCCTGTAGTGTGTGGTGTTTTATATATATATAATGTAACTCATTATGACAGAGATTTATATATATATACATATATATACATATATATATAAATCTCTGTCATAATGAGTTACATAAGGGAAGCAATTCTTATCTATATGACGAGATATAAAATATATTTGCTGAATGAGTAAATAATGCAAATTAAAACAACACTTAATTAATTTACAATATGAGCTCATTAAAAAAATTAGAAAATGATTTCAGAGGAATGATGTTCTTAAAACCACAACTAAGTAACAGTGAAGCTGGGATTTAAACCCAGGTCTTTGGAATCCAAGCCAAGGTTCTTTCCATAATAGTAAGGTTGATAATCCCAGCCCTAAGTTTTTTACTATAGTTAGCGCCACGTATTCTATATAAATAGACTGCATTCAGTCTTAAAAAACAGAACCAAAACAAAATATAGTCAGAAAACCCCTGGCCATGGAGTTGGTTCTGAACTAATAATTGTAACTCTATATAGAACAGGGTAGAACTGTCACATTGGGTTCACAGATTTGTCAATTTCACAGGTGCAGACTGCCACATCTTTCTACTGTGGAGCAACTGGCCGGTGCAAACCACTAACCTTTTGGTTAGCAGCAGAGTGTCTAGTCATTGCACTACCAGGGCTTCTGCAAACACAACCATAAATTATATGAACATTTATACCATAAATAATACTGAACCTAAGTTCTACAATAATATCACCACTATTAAACAGTAGACAATTCTAGTTTATTTTTAGTGTTTGGTGGGAAGCGAAGCTATGAAAGTACAACATGAATAAGCCTTGTTAATAAAGTAAATATGCTCTCGAAAGCCATTAAACTTGAGTTACAATTTCATAATGCACCAGTGAGAGTCTTAATTAAGATAAATGTTTATAAGGAATACTAAATTCATCAAATTATTTCTTGAACACCTGCTATGTGCTGGCAGTGTGTAAGGAACTGAAAACAAAAAAATGAGTATGATGTAATTCTTGAAATGGAGAAATTCACACTCTAGTAAGTGTGGCAATTATATAAACTTTTGTTCAGACACTATCATGATTACTAAAAGTTAAAAGCAGACTATAATGAATATTTATATAGTAACATCTATTTTTTTTGCACATTAAGCTTTTTAATTAAATCTCCCAGCCCTTTCACTTCCACCTGTAAAACTGCAGTATAAAATGCATATTAAAATATGCACTGAAAGTGTACAGATCACTGCAAATCACAAAATAAACACCTCCATATATCTTCTACCCAGGCCAAGAACTAGACATTACCAGCACCCCTGAAGACTTCTGTGTGCCCTCTCCTTATTACTATGCCATCCCACCCACTCCTATAAAGAGTTACAGTCTTGGGAACCCACAAGGAAATTTCTACCCTGTTCTACAGGGTCATAATTAGTGGATATCAACTCAATGGCTGAGGTTTTGTTTTTTCCTTCCTTCCTAAAGACAGCCAGTCTTTTGACATTTAACACTACAGAACATTTGTAGTTTTGCTTTTTTTCCTTTCTTTTAATAGTAACATCTATTTCTAAGACATGTTCTTCTGCAAATCTTTTTTGGGGTAAATTTCATTGAGGAGAATTTATGTATACAGTGAAAGACTTACCATCATAAAGTTAATTATCATATTTATATAACACATCAATTCTTGAGATATATCAGGATTATTTGCCCTTAGGCTGCAAGAACCTTTTAAGATCTGTGGCCACCTTTGTGTGTGTGTGTGTGTGTGTGTTACCATTAAATTTCTCTCTCCCCTTTTCATCCACTCATTAAAACTCTGATCAATATTTTTTTAGTCTCTATAAAGGAAGCTTCAAAAAGTTCATGGGGAAAAAAGAATTAAAAGATAATGTTGTGATATGTCTTAGGCACTACATGCTGGGGAACAATGGTGAGACAAAAGTCCAGGCATTAAGGAGCCGACATTTGAGTAGGAAAACTAAAGAGGAAAATAAGTACATAGTATTTAGAAGAAAATAATGTATCTCTAAAGGGACAGAACAAGCTATCTTTGAGTAGGATGTACTCAAAGGGAAGGAGGTCTTGTGGAGGTGGTGGCATCTGCATAGAGAATTGTATGAAGTAAGAAGGAAATCCATGAGATATCTTGGGGAAGAGCCTTCTAAACTGCAGACTCCAAGCTGGATGTATTCAAAGAATAGTAACTTCAAAGTGTTGTTTGAAACAGTGAAACCTAATGGACATAAAGTCAAATAGGCCGACAGGAGTCAGATCCCGTAGGGGTTTCTGGGTTTTCATACGTGGTTTGAGTTTTATTGTGAGAGCAATCATTAACCAGTAGGACAGGGATGTGATCTAATTTACATTTAAGGAATAAGTTAGAGAGAAGAAAGAGATTAGTGGTGATAAGGAGGCAAGAATGGGTGAGGGAAGACAAGTGTAGAAAGCTGCAGCATATTAAGTAAGAAATGGTGACAGACTCGGATGGTGCTGATGGAGGTAGTAAGTGGGCTGAATTGGAATATATTTAGGAGGTAGAATTTGTTGATAGAATGGAGATGGGATTTGACGTCAAAGAGCGGCTAAAAGTTTTTGGCTTGAGAAACTAGATAGAAATTGATGCCAAATGGAAGACAGAACATATTTAGAGGTAAAATCAAAGATTCTTTTGCTCATGTAAGTTAGAGATGCTTATTGGAATCCAAGTGGCCAATTAGATGTCATTTAGAGATCCAACAATATCTCGTTGGGAGTCATTATTGATTTCAAACAACAACGAAAGCAAAAGACAGTATTTATAACCATAGACTTGACTGTCTACATAGGAAATGAATGTAGATTGAGAAAGGGAATTAAGGATAGAATACAGCAA